TCAGAACCTTTCAGCGTGCCACTAGGTTCTCTTCCAGTTCTCATCAATACACCGTTAACATACCTGTCTCCAAGTCATTTTACAACAACAGCTTCTTTCCTCGGACTGCAAAATTATGGAACTCTCTTCCAAACAGCTGCTTTCCGTCCGATTACAACCCACAAAGCTTCAAAACAAAGGTCCACCGCCATCTCCTGACATAACTACATTATACTCACTTAAGTACCTCTAGCTCTATGCCTAGAAGTGGCCAAAAATAATTGGCCTTGCATTGAGCGACACCGTTAAAAAAAAAAAGACATGAGCTATTTTATTACTACGTGTACCCTGGACCATAGTTGATACATTGATTGTTACGTTGATGAAAGAAGATGACATTTGTCTGATGTCCAGACCAGATATGACCGCTTCCAGCCGAAAAGGGCTTTGAAATACGAAGGGTCGCGAAGTACTGCAGTAAAGCAACGCCAGTTTTGTACCATTTGGGTGGCGACGACAAATGTTTGTAGCCGCACAGTGAGAGGGCTGTGATTGGCTGGTGTTCATAATTAGATTCAGCAGGGAGTGAGTTGTGCCCAGAACCGTAGCTTCCAGAATTCTCCGTCCGTGCTGTGGAGACCACTCTCCCGTCACGATGGCCGTCTCTACTGCGCTTCTGTACGCCTTTATAGTCGTCATGGTCGGTGAGTAGCTTTCAAGTTTAGACTGTAAACTGTATACATACATGTATAACTACATGTGCTTAATCGCCAAGTAGGTAAGGGGATTTTTTGCGCGAATGAAAATAGCCACAAAACAAACGGCAGATAAACCAAAAAGACTTTAGTAACGTTACCTTCTCTGCCAGAATCCTTGGGATTCAAAGACTGTAGATAAGAAAAGTTAAAGATTCTGTTTTTTCTCGACATTTTTTTACCTAGCGTACATGAAGATAAACACACTTGAGAAAGAAAGAGATCCGTTTTTAAAGGTGGGCCTCGGTCATGTCTTACATTTCTTGTGGTAAACAATTCCTTTAAATCCCACTACGAACATCTAGACTTAACGTTAAAAACCTCTGAACGTGAAAACAAAGTATATATGCCGAAGAGCGTCAGTGGTGATCCCTTGTACTAGGCTAGCTTAAAGCGCGAGCCTTGCCGAAAACACATTGCACTTCCAGCTATTATAAGAGGTTTTTTTTAAAAGCTTTGCCTATTAAACTCACCCAGTCTGATATCTGTACAGTATTTCCAAATTCCAAGCTGACATTTGCAACACAACACCGTGCATCTAACCTGACATTATGTGCAGTTGGTTACATCGATAGGTTGTTTTTGTATTCTCGAAAATTTAAAGACACCACCACAGCAATTAAAGTAGTATTATTGGACATAGGGCAGCAAGACTTGTAAAAAACTGAGGTATTCTAAAGCTTTATTTTACAAAGTAAGCCTTTGAAAGGTCGTTTCAACCGTCGATGGTTCCAGCTTTGGGATGAAAGAACGCGTTGTTGATCCTTAGCTCTCTTTCTGTTGTTGTGAACGATTTAGCTTTTCCATATGGATGGATATGAATCGTACTGTGTAACTAATGCGTGACATTTCGCGGGTAATTTTCGGCAGCCATGCGTTAGCTTGTTAGTGGTGAGGGTTGATCTTTTTCTACAGAAGGACTGTATTGCACGCCAATTGTACATGGTACAATGTACGGCAACAATTATGGAATAATATAGTATAGAATGAAGCCTCCTAGTAATTGAGACATGAAGTGCTAGTATAATATACAATCATTGTTTTTTTTTGGGTTTCGGCATTCTTTCTGATGACAAAACAGTCTTATAACTATTTACCCATTTTTGCATTGTGTGAGGTACTGCAGTTGGATGTATTTATAATATATATATTATATATTTATCTATAGCATCGAGTCTGTTTAAATCTGTAGTATTTGATTCGATAAAAAATGTGAATAACCTTTTACGTAAAACACCATATCTAGGGTATTCCATGACAAAGTGAAATTCCTTTTTCAAGATGCTTTGGACAAAACCTTGGGTCGGGGCTATATGATAGTGTCTGCCTGTTGCTATATTCAATTTGTGGCTTTTTACATGGTGCTCAGCGTAGAATGAATGACATGTTCTTTCTGTTCATTAGGCATTATGTGCCCATGTCATACACGTATCTTGCACTGCATTTGAATATATATATATATAAATCTATTCATAGCATCGAGTCTTTTGAAATCTGTAGTATTTGATTCGATAAAAAATGTGAATATCCCATTACGTAAAACATCATATCTAGGGTATTCCATGACAGAGTGAAATTCCTTTTCAAGTTGCTTTGGACAAAATGGACAAAACCTTCGGTCCGGGGCTTTATGTGCTTTATATTGTCCGCCTGTTGCCATATTCAATTTGAGACTTTTTACATGGTGCTCAGCATAGAATGGATGACATAAAGACATGTCCTTTCTGTTCATTAGGAATGTGCGTCATTATGTGCCCATGTCATACACGCATATTGCATGAAAGGTTTGAGATGCTGCCCATTCCGCTTTCACGGTACAATGGCGTTATGACGACAGTCTTTCATCCGCTCCCAATTAACAATATTTGTATAACATAATCACATTTCTTGTGGTGTAATGAGGACTACGTCAATCATAACGTACGATGTCTGATTACTGCTGACGTATTATTGTATGTGAATTATGACTGCGATAGATCACCCATCTTTTTCTTGTAATTACAGCGTTACAGTTAACATTGTTGTTACTGTGATATCAGAAATTTACAATTTGGAATTTGCGTTTGGATTTCTTTTTGAAAATAACAACGGCAAACAACCTTTTCATATATACTGTGTTGTGGTGCGTTTGTGTTTGTGGTGCGCCTCGTTTGAATTTCAGAAATGTGAGACAATTGCAAAAAAATGTGAAAAGTAAAAGGAAATTCTAAATAATAATTGAATAAAATGTTTTAATTTGTGGTAAAAAAATCTAGTGCCCCATTCGGACACAATTTGGGAGTGATCCCCTATCAGGGCTAGTCATTAAGGTTCATTGGTGTCTTGTTGACGTCAGTCGTCCACAGCTTGTACTACCACTAGGGCCCAATAAACATGATCTATAAAAGTAGGAATAACAACCAAGATATAACTGGTCCCTCTGCGCCAGGCGACCATTGTCAGGCGTACCAGGGACACATGCATGATCACGGAATGGCTGAAAGAAGTGTGACACTACAGCGCGTTTCTGCAAACACTACTGATTCATTAAAACGTTATCTATACATACACCATAGGATAGTTTCTACGTCGCCCAGAACGTTGTGTTTTTTTATCATATTCCCTCCTCCAACCCCACCCTCAACAGGGAAGGGGGGCTACGAGTCGATCTTTCCGGCACTTGGGATTTGGCACTCCCAGCCCCGAGGACAGACAACACTTAAGCTCCTGTTCTGTATAACAGGAGCTTTCTGACTAATTTGCATTATCTTGTCTTGTCTGACTTTTGTTCCTTTTTCGACTTCCAAAAATTTGTCTTCACTTTATTTGCATATCAATCAATAGGTTGTGCTTATAAACCTGCATTTCCCCTCTGGTCTCTCAGTCACTGACGAAAGCTAGTGGATACTACTAAGCTGAAACGTCTGACGTTTTCAAAATCATATCCAGTTGCTTGAGTAACTGCTTTTTGGCGTATTCCCTCCTGCGTTGTGCCTTCCCTATGCTCGAGCAACAAGCTTTTAATTAGTTTTCTTTCCAAAATCCAACTACATGTACGAGCGTCCTTTAATATCTCATGCTGCGTCATACTTTGATTTGATTGACGACATTTTGCCCAAAAGGCGAATACTGACTCTATTTATTGTTTTCTTTGACGTTGCTTTACCTAGATCACAGGTAGAGGTACGTACATGTAGCAATGATATTTTGATAAACAGAGAAATACAATATCTCTGAAGTATTCGCTGAAAAGGCAGAAGGAATTCTCGACAGAAACGGAGACAGACTGTAGTGTTGCCGTGCCGATTGAAGAGATCTTTATTCACTGGTCCCCTGATCACTGCATCTACGGTCTGACTCTCAGAATACAGTCTGTCTCTCTTTCTGTTTATCCAGCCCAGACCATACTGCGCGTGCATGCGCCTCCGTCTTGTTACTTAGATTAACCGCCCTTTTTACTTTCTTCTTTCCGTCTTTTGCTGACAACGTGGACACATGTTTATTATTATTATTATTTTTTTATTCCAACATTTCATGACTGGACATGGTGACAGCACATTCAAGTTATATCAACTTATTTTATGCCGCCACCAACGCAGAGGACGAATACACGACAAGACAATACTCAGATCGTGTAAAGTGCCTTTCCCAAGGGCACAAGATCGGTGGCTGGCATGTCAGGACTCGAACCCGGGGACCTCTTGGTTCCTAGTCGAGCACTCTGCCGCTACGCCACACGGCCCCACTTAATTTACGGCAGGCCTGGTGGAAAAAATTAATCATTGCATAAGTAGTAAAATGATTTTAAGTCGGAAGATTAAAAAATATGTTATTTCATTTATTCGTGTTTGATCTCTTGCTTTGCACGTCTTATGTAAGCTCTACCATTACATGTCTGACAAAACAGGCCAGAAGCTATTTATCTGCAATCCGCATAATCAAGAAACTGGGGCAACTTAAAAAGAAACTGGGGCAACTTAAAGCAATTGCAATTTTCTTGAAGATCCGGTCTTGTTAACACTATTATAGGGAAAGCTTCTGTAGGTGTATTCAGGTTTCCGGGCTTCTTTCATGGAGAGTATTTCCATGAAAGTGTTTTCATGATGATTTACTTTCCACGACCATCGCCGAATGATGCTAACTTCTATGACTGATGAATTATGAATGATTATACAGGTGTACCAGTAAGATGCCCATTTGCACGAATTATATCAGTTGATAATAAAGGGTTAATGCACTGCCCCGAGTTGTATATGGTGTCATAACTGCATGAGCAGCTGCCATAACCACCGAATAAACCACCGTGTGAGCGAAGCGAACGAGGTGGTTTATGAGGTGGTTATGGCAGCTGCCCATGCAGTTATGACACCATATACAACGAGGAAAAGGCAGTGCATTAAAATTATTATCATATAGCCTATCCAAACTGTCAATCAACACAATTCCTGTTTGAAATACAACAGCTTTAATATATATACATACATAAAAATACATTCGAATATATTATACGCTTTAAAACAAATATGGATAATTTCATTTAATGCAAATTGTAGTTTAAATGAAGCTAAACAAAAAAGTTTATTGGACAGAAAAATGCTACAAAGGTTTACAGAAAGAGTCGCATGCCCCTATACCCTATAACATAATGGTATCAGCCATAACACGACATGTGCTGTTATTCCGCCATAACACCACATGTGCTGTTATCGGGAAATAACAGCACGGGTATCCGGGCCTCTGATTGGTCCGCGCCGTCCGGCTATATGATAATATTGAATATTCTCCACTCGATGGATAATGGATAATTCCGTCTCATCAAGACCTACGCACCCACCACGTTCCACGGCAATCTATTCAATGACATACGAGCTTCTTGTATTATCGTGCTTAACCACATCACTCACTCACTCACTCACTCACTCCATCTACGGTATCTTGCAAGATGGTCTTCGCAAGCGTGTTGTGTCGTACATGTACATGTAATAGAAAATGTGGTTCAAACATTCTTTTGAAGAACTCACTTCACAAAAGACATATTTTGGAACATCGTTTAACGTCTATGTAGATGCGAAAGAGAGGGACATCGATAGGTATTATAAATATGGCATAGCGTAGCTAGATGCTCATTTTAAAACCGAGGGAGAAAGTAGGTGTAAAGTGCCATTCCCAAGGGCACAACATTTGGTCTGGTAGGGGTCAACAACACTAACCTTAAGGCCATCCGTACCTTGCTTCCTGCCATATTACCTCCACAGTGAAATGTCACGGCCAGTATGTATAGAGTAAGGGTCTCTTATTCTATTCTAAAGTTTCATTCTGATTGAGAAAGTGGTCCGTCCTTAACCCACGTAACTCATCTTGTGTAATGTTAGCGTCATTGTGCAGCAGAAAAGTGGAATTCTAGACTCGAAGTGGCGGATGGATATCAGCATGACGCGCGCGGAATTCCGTATCGGTTGATGAACAATGATTTGACAGATGTCAAAGTACGAAGCATGTTCAGAAAATTCTCGGCCTTACCCAAGACAAAAGGACTCAAATGTCGGGTACTAGATATGGACTATTAAGTCTTCTACTATTGTCCACCAAATATCCAATTATTGCCCTCACGACACTCTTTTAATTAAGAATGAGATTGTAAAAGGAAATAAATGCAGTGCGAGGAGAAAAATGTTGGGCTTCCGACCTCAGGCCTGAAAAAATAGAATCGGTAAGTAAGGGCTTCTGCTGAAGTGATGCAACAAACACTGAAATGCATCTGGACCATGGCTTTCTGGTCTTGCTTGGTCGAATGTCACACCTCAACTCCCAGATTAAACTGTACCAAATTGCTCTTTTAGAATCATTCCGCTCTGATCTGTTATTCATAAATTATGAAGCCAGAGTCGCGGGTTACAAGGCTTTATTGGGGCCTAAGTATTGTAATTAATTGAGGTAAGGTACCCAGATAAATGTGCGATGGTGGATAAGTGCTTTCAATTTTATCGAAAAATGGTAATTACCATAATTGTAAGGTAAGGTCGCTGTTAACGCATTAGCACACGTTATACGACACTACAGCTCTCTGTTCGTAATCGCTGGTTAATTGCTTTGTAATTTGCTAAACGAAGGCCACACTGCAAACCACAAAGCAATTAATCTAATTGTTTTGCACTTACGAAATTAACTCACCTCTTGGAAGCCGTAAGGATCCGTAAATACATGTTTCTGAAAAATATTCTGTAATGTGTTTCCAGCATGACTTATTACCTGGTACGAGAACGCAGGCATTGTAAACTGTATGCTACTGAACGTGACACATTCATCATACTAATATAATTAGAACAATCCACTTAGACAAACTGTGGAAAGGTAGAACAAAGAAAGAGATATTCAGTCATCTCATGTCTACCATTAATGACCAAACAACAGAAAAACTGTGTATTCATCTTTTTAAAAAGAGAGAAGAAAATTCTCATGACTTGCATTAGATAGAAATACAATCTCAATGTATTTCTATTCTCCCAGACGCCAATCACACGTTACCACGCCCCTTTCGTCGGCGTTACTCCTCCCCCAGACACAACCACTCATAACCACACCCCTTTTAATTTTTTAAAACTCCTGATTGGTCCAGTTAATTCCGCTCGGAGACGCATCCTTTGTAAGGTACCACATATATAAACATGTGGTTTATGTTTGTCCTTCAGCTATCATTGCTGTCAGCATCATCGGGAATCTACTGGTCATCCTGGCGGTCTTCCTGTGCCCCAGTCTCCGCAAGCGCGACAACATCCCCCTGGCGAGCCTCAGCGTCTCCGACCTCCTGTTCACCGCCTTACACCCTCCCATGTGGATCGTCGCCCTGCTGAAGCCCGAGTTCCGGCTGCCGTGGGGTCTGTGTGTCCTGCAGTCCTACACCACTCCGGTACTGTGGGCAGTGTGTCTGTGCCACATGGGGTATGTAAAACTTTCTGTAACTAATACTAAAGTAAATACTAAGCAAACGGTAACCGACTATAATGCACTGTTCTTTTGGCAAACCACAGTTTCACTATAATTTAAACCTATATATAATTATAAAGTCTATTTCTGAATGTTCTGTCCGTTACAGGTGCATCGCCGTGTACCGGTTGTTCCGAGTCCTCTACCGGTACCGTTTCCCTGCCATGATCTCCACCAAGGCCGTTTGCATCGAAGTCACCATGGCCTGGCTGGTACCGTTTTTCTCCCTCATCTTTCTCCATCTTCATCCAGAAGAGGACGTCATCTACGATCACAAGCTCAAACGCTGCGCTGTGGTGCAGACAAGCAGCCTGCTGGCGAAGGCCATCGCAGGGCTGCCGATCATCTGCCCGTACTTCGTGGCCCTGGCTTGCTACATCGCCATCTGGCTAGCGCTGAGGAAGAGCAAGAAGACCATGCTTGAGCATAACCGACGCAAGGTGGCGGCTCCGAAAATCACCATCAAGTCTTCTTCGGGCTCTCAAGGAGGAAGCACAAGTCACCGGGTGTCCATCGTGCTTGAGGAGGAAGGCGGCGGAAGAAGAGGAAGCATGGCGGTGACCGCGACCACCAGCTCGAATGTGACGAGAGATGACAGCGAGAATCTGCCAGGGGTGCCCGAACACTCCGCCATGATCAAGACCAAGTGCTGCTGGACCAAGGGTCAACAGGACAGCGGGTCTGAACCGGACAGCGGGTCTGAACAGGACGAAGCTGACCAGCCACAGGCGAGTGCTGCACCACGAGATGAAGACAACGTCACCCGCATCAGCCTGCCCGCATCTACCATCGGCGGCGACAAGATCCCGTCATCATCATCTGACCTACGACTGGTGATGGAGCCTGTGAGAAGTGGGAAGAAAACACAGAAGAAGGACGGGAAGAAGGCGTACATCCACGGAGAGAGTGACAGCGACTTGACCACGACAGACAGCAACCTCCCCAACACGACGGTACACGACCTCTCCACGACGGTACACGACCTGTCCGCGACGGTGTCCGTGTCCCGTTCGAGCTTCAACAGAGCTGACATCGCAGGGAAACGAAAGAAGCCACGACGACTGCATCTATCGCCGGCGGAGAAAGAGATGCTGAAGATGATGGTGGCCGTCTTCATCAACTACGCCTTGTGTAACCTGCCCATGACGGTCATGGCCTTGGCGGAGAACGGCGACCGTGTTCCCGAGGAGGCCTTCCTGGTAGGAATGCTTCTGTGGGCCGGTAACGGCGCCATGAATCCGATCATCTATGGGTTCATGAACACGAGATTCAAGCAAGGATACAGAGATATCTGGAACACATTCACAAGGCTCTTTCGGTAGATGATTAACCAAAAATGGCCATTAGTCTTATCGACTCCCAACCAACCAAATATGGTCACCCCTCTCACAGAGTGTGGACAATACGCGTAATGAAAAAAAAAAGAAAGAAACAGCCTCTTAACAGATATAGTTGGTATTTTGGCGTACTGAATCAACACATTTCATATTCTTTGCCCTTCCCTTAGGCCAACACTTGTCCTTCGATCCAGCCAATCACGTCGCCGCCTTCGGTCAAGAGGCGATGTGATTGGCTGATGACTTCAACAAGAGTAAGTGGAGTATCTGATTGATTGACGGCTGACCAGTGCTAACGCATCCAATCACGTCGGCGCCTTCCGTCAAGAGGCGACGTAATTGGCTGAGAACTTTAGGAAAAGGAGGTAGTGTGTCGACCTGTCTGATTGGCTCTCCAGTGCTAACTTTAATAGCTTGGTGAGCGGCGATTTGGCCTGAGTTCTAGAGGATGTCCCCAACACACTACAATGTAAGTGTACATGTCATAACGTGAGTCTGATGCCTGCTACTTGTGCTACATCGAAGCGCACAACATTCCAGTGGGAAATATTTTTGAGATGAAAAATAAGATGACACCTACAAACACAAATGTTCGTACAGGCGTGTAGCGTAGCCACAGAAAATACTCCTGTGTCAACGAAGCAATAAACAGATCAACAATACAAAGGGGTACAAGGATAAAGCCATTATGTATGACAATCACTATGGTACCATCGCCAAATTAAAATATCATAGGGATGAGTTACTCTCCCTCTTTTGCACTGAATTTTTTTTCCACCAAAAAAAAAAAAATTCAGTGCAAAAGAGAAACCCCAATAAAAAAAGCCTAAAAACACACTAAAGATACCCCCAAAACCCAAACCTCTGCTTGGAGAGTAGGGATGAGTCACATGACAAGTACATATCCCTTTAAGATATTGCAATAAAGTGTGATTTAAACCTAGCTGATAAAAAAGCCCTGATTCAAGTCAGGCTATGCCATTAAAAATTATAGCCATCTTAATATTGAGAAAACATTTGAGAGGACAACATTGGGGCTTGCCTGCCAGGGATTTGAACCCAGGATCTTACGATTCTAAGTCAGCAACCCTTACCAAAGGATCACCTTGCCACCATGTGCCACGGCAGGAAAGTCAGAATGAAAAGACAGTTTTATATCGTTTTTGTAAGATATGACTATACATTCAGAAGAGGTATATTTTGTGATACAGGTTTAAATATATACAGATGTAACATGAAATCAGGGATTTCATACTCCTGGAATGTATTTGAGGTTTATGTGACCTTAAAGTCCACAGACCTCCAGGAAGTGTCTTGAGTTTTCGTGAATGTATTGGAATTGTAAAGGGGTTGTATGATGAAATTTAATCGGATATGACGCCACTTGTAGACTTTCTCCATATACCACCCAGTGTACATGTATGCTGGGTCACCTTCAGATGTGACATTCCTATCAATCACCTGTCCTACTCCAAATCACCTCCCACCCACCATGCAATTAGGACAGAAAACACACACACACACACACACAGTCATCCAAAAAACACAGCCATACAAAGAGGTATTTACTGTCACTTATGTGCACTTGTCTAGTGCTGTAGTGATCACAAAAGAATTTATTATATAGTTGATGTATCGATATCGTGACAGAATTAGAAGGAGAATCTAGTACCTTTGTATACATGCAGAGTTCGTATTTTTGTGAGATATGACAATACCTTAAAGAGGTATATTTTGTCATAGTGGTTCAATGTACAGTATGTAACCAATGTGCACTAGTGCTAGTAGTCATATAAAAGTGGTGAAAGAAAGTGCCAATGTGCCACAAAGAGAGTCTACATTTGTAATAAGTCTGTACTTTTTGTAAGATATGCGATACTGTACCTTGAAAAGAGGTTTATTTTGTCATAGTCATCAAAGTCTGGATAGTGAGTGGTTCAATGTACAAATGTAATTAACCTGCACTAGTACTAGTAGCCATCACAGAAGTGGTGAATGGCAGTCATGATGTGAATGGCAGTCATGTGGCGTCGGGTGGTGTAGTGGTTAGAGCAATCGACTATGAACCGGGGAGACCCGGGTTCGATTCCGAGTCGTACCCGGTACATGTCTGAACATGCGCCCTGACGTTGTGCCCTTGGGAAAGACACTTTACACGACTTTCCTCACTCCACCCAGGTGTGAATGGGTACCTAACTTCAGTTGGGGAAAGTCGTATTGAGGTCACCTTGTGGCGCAGAATGGCAGCCGCACAGACCCTTGCGACAGTTCCACAAAAAATAATTGTGTATCATGTGTACTACATGTATTTGGTTGTTGTAATTGTTGTGGTTTGTATTGATTACCATGTGATACCCTGCATCAATTCAGCCGCATAAAGGCTGCGACTGCACGGGTACTGTTTGGACAATAAAAACCATTTATTTATGGAAGGATCTACTTTTGTATGGAGTTTGCACTTTTTGTAAGGTATGAACAGATGTATATTTTGTCATAGTGATAAGTAATGAGATGTAATCAATGTATAGAATCAAAGAATTGCTTTTTTGGCTGTAGTAATTGTATTTATGTCATGTATTTATGTCATGACAATCCTCTGTGCATTAACATATAAGGGGCAATACATGTTAACTAGAAGTAAACATTTAATTTTATTAGCTTGTATTATGTATACATTGTGCGAAGTATTCAATATGTCAAAGGATTTGTTAAATGTATCACTATTGATATTGTTCACAGAAAGATGACTTGTCGTTTTATTTTTTCTTCAATCGCCAACCACTGGCACAGTTGTGGTATAGTTAGTGGAGTAAAAAGATACATCTATGTCATTTTTTAAACAATACAATTAAATTGTTCATAGTTTGAAGTGTACATGTGTACATTGTGGGTAATATGTCAATGCTCAAGACTTCTTGCTATTCTTTGTACATTTGTGCACAGTGAACTAGTTTATTTTTGTGGATTTTGAAATTACCAGAAAATGCAACAAAAAGACTTGGATTTCTATATGCACTGGTCTTATGGGTTCCTCAATTCTATAATACTTAAGTTAATAAACCTGAGAAGATATATTGTATCAAAATATTAGTTAACACATTATTTTCAGAAAATGACTGACTGGTTCCACAAAGTTCACTGAACTTTTTAAACATTGTTCACATGGTAAACAGACAACATATTTTTAAACTTTAAACTGACCAATCACAATGATTTCAGCTGCTGTCAATTCAGAACATTCATTCCAACTTAAACAACTGTTCATAAATTAGAACATATTTCTTGGCATTTATCCTATTATTGGTCAATACCAAAAATTGCATTCATTCCAACTTAATCAACTGCTCATAAATTAGCATAAATTTCCTGACATTTGTCCTATGATTGGTTAGTACCAAAAATCACATTTATTCCAACTTACTCAACTGCTCATAAATTACCATAAATTTCCTGACATCTGTCCTCTGATTGGCCAATACCTAAAAAAACCTTGGCACATACATTTCATGATATTTCATGACACAGAATGACGTGATTGGCTAGTGGTGTTGGACAGAATACTGTTATTGGATGACGGTTTGGTTCCCTCGCCATAACGCTCTCGTAGAAGCTCTTCCATAATACGAATACTCTGAAATAGAAGAAAAATAACAACGTATAATTTTGTGCTTGGCTAACATAGTTTGCACAATTATACTATTATGATACTTGAGACAGTACTAAGGCTTGCAAGGCCATAAAATTTTCACTCATCAGACTGACATCTGAATTTCAAATCCTCTGAAACATTATTTTTAGAGAGAGAGAGAGTGTGGAGAGAGAGAGAGAGAGAGAGAGAGAGAGAGAGAGAGAGAGAGAGAGAGAGAGAGAGAGAGAGAGAGAGAGAGAGAGAGAGAGGGAGAAAGAGAGTGAGAAACATTATTCCATGCATTTTCAGAAGCAAATTTTTGTTGACTAAATCAAGTGAAATATTTTTTCCTTCCACACAAGCAAACAGGCACAGGTCCTGTAGACAGCCCTGGTCCTGATGCATCTCAGTTTTACATTGCTAAACTGTGTTTATTGGATCATCTAAGCTGAAATCTTAAACACAAAAAGCGAGAATCCCTATTTACCAACCCTATTTTATTCAGGACTGAAATTGTAAACAACATTTTCCCCCTAGGCCTTATGTATACAGATGTATTTGATGACTATGTAAGCTGTATACTGTTGTGGTAATATTAAAAGATCATGGATTACTTTTACAAATGTAGCCCTAAGGCCACACCAATTTAAATTCTCGGTTAACGGATTCGCCCGCTTCATTTTTTTCTGATTTGCAAATAAAAATAAAGTCGGAATCAACTGTAAAATGCACATATTTTGCCCTGAACAGTTGAAAACAGTCCTTTTCATCCTAGTTGTTACAGCTATTCCATCTTTTAATGCAATGGTATCATTAAAAGTTCAAAATTCTTTGTTTACATTTTGAGCCAGCCTGGTGTGTTGACTTCATGGCTCCTATCGTACCATTTTGGGCCATAATAGGATGCCTAGGCCTGTTTTTATTTTTATTTTTTCTCTCGCCCGCCTGCATCATTATTTTTCTGAAAAAATCCGTTAACCAAGAAATTAAATTGGTGTGGCCTAAGGGTGTGAAATTGATTTAAAGAGGTCTTGAGACTGAAGAAAGCTAGCTAAAGACTAGTGAGTGGAAGGGGTACTTACATTGTATATCTTTTAAGTGGTTTTCAGAGACAAATAAACTGTGTTTCGAATGTCAACAGTTTTTGTCATTATTTTATGTTACTGCTTACAGAATCACATACTAACAGATTTAATCAAGTTTCTTCTCTTTTTATTTTGCCCTCCCTTTCCATTTATTTTCTGCACGAATCTAAGAACTTAGAAAAAAAAATTAAACTGTTGTTTTTTAAAGTTAAAACTTTTGTTCCAACACAAGGAATTGTTCTCACCTAGAGCTTTCAACCAGTCACTCTGGTCTTTAATAGACTGACCCAGCGAAATTATCACGTGGCTTCTTTGAAGTGAGGAGTAAACACTGGGTCAAAGGTATCTGGTAAACGATGTTGGCCCCTGTTGTGGTTGTTGTCCCAGTGTTGACATCACACTTCAAAGAAGCCACGTGACTGACAACTTCAAGTCTCACAGGGTCAGTCTATTGAATAAGATACAGATGAACTTTCATGATTAACACTGTTGTTGCCTAAGTTCAGTGTGTAGTAAAGATTACCTCACCTTTTTGCCTCCTCCCCTGAGAAACATTTGTGCGTAATATTCCAGTATAGCACCAAACGGTCCCACACCAGTTATAGCGATAGTGCCGTGCATTCGAAACTCCGTCCTATCAACACAAAACTGGTTATAAGTATGCAACTTCAGCATTGCTCATTCATTTATTTATTTATTTCTGTTTTCTTTATACAGGGTAGGCACACTCAGTACAATATACTGCTTTACAGGCGTGCCCTGTGCAGACAGACATAAACACCAACAACAGTAAACAAAATAACCAAAAGTAACATATATATACACAACCAAGCATCAAAATCGATGGATCAGGCTGGGTCGAAAGGTCAGAGGTCAGCAATGTTGTTTTATCAGCTTCTTGAAAGAGAGGTCAGATGTGACCACCCTAACTGTACCAGGCAAATCATTCCATGCAAATGCACACCTGTATGCAAATTTTCTACGGCCAGATTCCAGTTTAACTTTAGGTAGTTGTAATGATAAATATGTTTCATTGAATACTACACACTAAAATATGTCAATGGTCACTTCAAGTTGTTTTCTTAAAATACACTAATAAATTTTGCTGGAGTAGCAAGCCAAGAAAAAAACAAACAAATTGGGGCATTGCAAACTGAAAGCAAAGTTTGATGATACAAGAAATTTATTCCAAGATGATATATAGATTGTACATTTTTGTACAATTTTCTCATCTACCATTGAAGTGGTTTGAAATTCATTGTTTGCTTGGTAAGTTGACTTCATGGCTCCTATCGTAACATTTTGGGCTATCACAAGAGTGTCTAGGCCTGCTTTTTTTGTGCCCCGTGGCTTCATATTTTGTTTAAAAAAAAAAAAATTGGTGTGGCCAAATGGACACTGCACTTGTTTTAGGACTTTTGTAACACTTACTTTTGAAGTATGAAAATGTGCCAAGAAATGGTAGGAAATGTCAATATCGGACAGACTTCCTCATCCAGAATATTCTTGTTTTGCTACCCTGAACTTGCACAGCATGCCTTTAACATGTTCTCCATACCAGTTCGGGTTTTCTGGACTTGGTCTGAATTCAGATTCCTCGCTGAGCTCTGCCAGGTTAGCCCAGGTCAGCATCCTGCTGGACAGTTTGGCTGTTCTCTGTCGCCGGTAGTACCACGACTCTTCCTCTAAGTAGATCGCAGGGACGTTCAGGAGTCCCAGCTGGAAATTAGCGTATAAAAGTATAACCGTAAATCATAAAACTTTCGTATTGCTTTTTTCCTATAGTGACTGCTCCAATGGAAATACGTGTATGTTGTCCTTGCATTATATGACTACTGTCGTACAGAATTGTGTGAACTGTGATATTTGAAAAAAAAACAAAAAAAACCCACACACAATAAAAACCCTCCTTACTGTCTTAGCGTGAAATAAAACCACCGTAAAAGTCACAGTAGATCTGAAACGAGTAGAAACGAGTAGACACTTACCCTTCGGAGAAAGTTTGGCACAACATTTGTACATGTTGCCAGCTTTTTTCTGTACTCGATCCCTGACACAGAGTCTGTGTAAAACAACATGTGATTCAGCAAATCAGAATCATCAGTTGGGCAAGCAGATCAGAGATATGACTATTTTGTTCTAGACAGTTCAGTTCAGGTCATCCCCATTGTTCTAGACACCTTTCACTATATACTACTATATAGGTTCTACAAATTTATTCTTGTCAATGTGAATGTCACCCTATGGAAACTTCAATAGCAATGAGACAAAAATAAGAAAATTAAGGGTGATTGCAATTCACTTACCAACTTTTTCTTCTACTGTTTTGATGCATTCCACAAATTTTTCCTTCGGTGTGGGATACTGTAAGAAGAATGCAAAGTAGGTCACTGAATGTTCAATGCAATGTAATACCTGTTTCACACTACTGTAAACTGGGATATTTTGTGTCCAGCCTTGCAGTGTGCTATGGGTTTGGCACCCATATATAAAATCCTTGAAATCCTACAGTCTAGTTAACGTTATCAAGGCATTCGTACTGAACAACAAAGCTATATCATGAGTTTTAGTTTCTTTTAGAATATTGTAACAGTGGGGGGGGGGGGTT